GGATAACCCATCCCCCCACCGCCCTCCCCTCTAGAACCCTCAGTTTGTTTTTCAGAGTCCATCGTCTCTCATGGTTCATCTCCCCCTCCGATTTCCCCCCCTTCATTCTTCGTGGAATATGATCTCAAAGTCACTTTAAATGTTTTCTATTCTTGGCCCCATTGCTTCCTTCATTTCTTTAATGTTTTGTCTTCCACTCTTTTCTGCCTTCTCTGATTTTAATTGGACATTTTATGTGATTTCAGTTTCTTTCCTCTCCCCCCTCAGCATATGACTTTTTTTAAACTTTTAAAGCAGTTGCCCTAGAGTACGCAATATACATTGACAACTTATCTAAGCCCACTTTCAAATTAACACTATATACCTTCATAGATAGTGAAAGTGCAGAGTATTTTCAATTCCTCCCTCCTGTCCTTTGTAACAGTGCAGTCATTCATTTCACCTATCCACAAGTACTAATTATAGAACACAATGTTGACAGTATTATTTTGAACAGTATTATCTGTCATATTAATTTAGAATAAGAAAAACAGATTTAATTTTACCTTTATTTATTCCTTAATTTTTTTTTTAAATGTAGAACCAAGTTTCCAACATTTCTATCCCTTTGAAGAACTTCTTTTAACATTTCTTGCAGTTCAGGTTCACTGGTGATAGTTTCCCTCCATTTTTGTTTGTCTAAAACTGTCTTTATTTTTCTTCTACTTTTTTAAGAATAATTTCACTGGATATCAAAATCCATGCTTTTTTTTTTCTTTCAACACTTTAAATATTTCATTCTACTCTGTTCTTGCATAGTTTCTGAAGATAAGTCCAATGTAATTCTTATCCCCTTTTCTCTGTAGGCAAGGTTGTTTTTCCCCTGTCTGGCTTCAAGATTTTCTTGTTCTTGATTTTTTGCTGTTTAGAATATATATGTCCAGGTATAGATTTTTTCTTATTTATCCAGTTTGCAGTTCTCTATGCTTCCTGGATCTGTGGGTTTTGTGTCTGCGTTAATTTTAGAAAATTCTCAGTCATTATTTCTTCAAATAGTTCTTTTCTTCCTTTCTTTCTTACTTCTCCTTCTAGGTTTCCTATTATGCCTATGTTACACGTTTTGTCATTTCCCTGGAGTACTTGGATACTCTCTTATTTTTTTCATTTTTTTTCTCTTTGCATTTCAGTTTTATAACTTTTTTTTTAAGATTTTATTTATTTGTTTGACAGAGAGAGATAGTGAGAGCAGGAACACAAGCAGGGGGAGTGGGAGAGGGAGAAGCAGGCCTCCCGCCGAGTAGGGAGCCTGATGCGGGGCTCAATCCCAGGACCCTGGGATCGTGACTTGAGCCGAAGGCAGACGCTTAATGACTGAGCCACCCAGGCACGCCAGTTTTATAACTTTATACTGACATATTTCAACCTACATTTTCTACTTGGCTGTGTCCAGTATACTTATGAGCCAATCAAAGATATTTTTCATTTCCGTTCATGTGTTTTAGTTTTCTAGCATTTCCTCTTGATTCTTCCTTAGTGTTTTCATTTCTCTGTTTATAGTCCCCTTCTGTTCCTACATGTTGTACACTTCCCCCCACAACTTCAAAGACTAGAGTGGGATGGGGTTGAGTATTTTCATTCCTCTAGATTGATAAACCTCCAGTTGGTTAGGTAAAATAGTTTCCCTTAACGGCAGGGTTGATAAAGAAAACAGATAGCTCTAGGCATATTTCAAAATGGCCACTTATCCTCTTCCCCTGACAGAAGAGGATTTTTCTCCTATTTTCACAGTAAAAACCTGGCAGCGCTTCTAAAGGTAAAATTCAGGAAAATGTGGGTGGTCTCCCTATCCCCACAAGTGGAACCACTTGAGGTTTTTAACTCTCAAGCTAGTTCATGAGTTTAAATTCTCATGGTAGTCCACAGTGAGCCTTCAGCAATTTATCAATTGCAGTTTAGGGTGTTCCTACCCATACTGACTCCTGCTGCCAACTTCTGCTCCCTCTAAACTGTGCTCTTTAATTGCCTGTCTCTCCAATTTGGGAGTCAGTAATTTTCCTGCTGACCTCAATCTTTCATGGATCTAGAAAGAGTTGCTGATTTTTAGTTCAGCTTTTTTCTTATTGTGAGGATGGAAGTGACTGACCAAGCTCCAAACTCTTTACATATTGGACTGGAAGCCTCTAACTTACTTTAAAGTGTCCTCTTTCCTAGCATAGGCCTGACCCACAAATATGACTGGAAGGAAGAGGGTAAATCTGTTTTGTCTTGGTTCCACCACATTTTACTTCTCTGTGTCCCACACTCAACTCTGTTACCTTGAAGTCCATTAGCATCAGCTTAGGGGTGGGAGAAGAAAAGGCTAAAGGAAAACCATGGTGCCCTCTGTAACAACTGCCTAAGAGCTGATGGTTTTGAACATTTTGGAGATTCACCCAAATTCTGGAACTCCAACACTGCCATTGCCAGATACACAGAATGAATGCTCCAGCCAGCATGTCAAAATTTCCATGCACATCCTCTCCTGGTGGCTTCGCACAACTTCATTCTGCTCCCTGGTTGCTTTTCCTTTCTTTCATTCTACTAGAAACACTTCACTTCTTTTTCAAAACAATTCTAGTAGTGCTACAAGTTGAAATGTGTCCCCTTGAAAAGATACAATAAAGTCCTAAGCCCAGTACCTCACAAATGACATTATTTGGCAATAAGGCCATTAGATAATCAAGTTAAAATGAAGTCACTGGGGTGTACCCCAATGCAATATGACTGAGTCCCTACACAATGGCAAAAATTTGGATGCAGAGGCAATACACAGGGAGAATGCCATGAGAATATACTGGTAGAGACTGGGATAATGCATCTACAAGCTAAGGGACATCAAAGATTCTGGCAAACCACCAGATCCTAGAAGAGGGGCATGGAAGAATATTTCCCTCCAGTGCTCAGAAAGAACCAACATTGCCTACACTTTCATCTTGAACTTCTAACTTCCAGAAATGTGAGGCAGTAATTTTTTGTTGTGAAGTCACCCAGTTTAAGGTACTTTGTTATTGGTAGTCCTTGAAAATGAATACAGCAGCCATGTACCAACATGTCTACTAGCTGTTGGGAAAACTCGACAGTTTTTATCTGTCATCACAGGCACCCTCAGTCGGTCTCTTCCCTTTAAATATTTCCAGGCAAGAGAGCTGGGTAATCACCTCTGGGACTGCCATTTCCCAAACTCCAAGGTTACTGGTCAAGCCTCACCCCACCACATCTCCAAATCTCTTACATCCCTCTTCCTCAGAGGCAGCAAGGAGTGGCCAGGGGCCAGATAATGTAGGATCTTAGAGTTTTATGAAAACAATTTTGGATTTTCTTCTACTTGAGTAGAGAAGCTCTTAAGAGTTTTGACTGGGAAAGTAACACATTCTGACATGCATTTTAGAAGCATTTCTACAGCTGCCAAATGGAGGCTAGACTGTAGGAAGGCAAAAATAGAAGTGTGTAGAACAATTAAGAGGCAATTACAGCATCCATTGAGGAGTAGAATAACACTGTATAGGTGTTGAGAACTGATTAGGTTTAGGATACCCTTCGAAAAAAGAGCCAACAGATTTTGCTGAGGGACTGGACATGGAATGTTAGAGAAAGAGGAATCAGGATAATCTGAACAACTGTAAGAATCTAATGCCATTTACTGAAATGGAGAGATATGCAATAGGAAACAGGTTTTGGAGGTGGAAAATATAGAGTTTGACACGCATATTAAATATCCTAGTAATATGTTGAATAAGAAGTTGGATATGTGAGTATAGTAATCAGAGAAGTCAGGGCTGGATATGGATATTTGGAAGCCATCAGCATAGTGAAGTTATGTAAAAGACAATGAAGGAAATGGATGAGATCACCTGCGGAATGAGGACAGATAAAGAAGAGAACAGGTCTAGAGCATAATAACATTTAGAAATCAGGGAGAGGGGCGCCTGGGTGGCTCAGCCGGTTAAGCCTCTGCCTTCAGCTCAGGTTATGATCCCAGGGTCCTGGGATCCACCCGCCCACCCCTGGTCATGCTCCCTGCTCAGCGGGGAGCCTACTTCTCCCTTTCCCTCTGCCTGCTGCTCCCCCTGCTTCTGCGCTGTCAAATAAATAAATAAAATCTTAAAAAAAAAAAAAAAAACGGGAGGAATCAAGCAAAGGAGAATCAAAAGAGCACCATGATTTCACAAAAGTCAAATGAAAAATGTGTATCAAGTTTCAAGTAAAAGATGTAATTAACTGTGTCAAATGCTGCTGAATGGTTAAGATGAAGATTAAGAGTTGCCCCTTGGATTTCTGATTGTTTAAATGCCCGGATATTGACACACAAACTCTCCTTTTATTCTAACATTTCAACTACCTAAGAGGTCTCACATTCAAGTGTGTATAAGAATTAAAGATCTCGACTTTATTTTTAGCATTATGTATTCTGTACTTTGTAGGCCATTTAAAGGATTTTCCTGAGAAATTTTTACTACCAGGAATTTTCCCATAAAGGCTGCGTTTCCAAAACTGTTTCTCATTCATCCCACTAGTACTCAGGAAATAGGAAAAGAGCAGGGTCAGGGAGCCAAACCTTAATTTCTTACTTTATAAGTCATAATTTTGAAGTAAATTTAATCTTTCAAATCTAGAAGTTTCGACCTTCTGTCTTTTCTGGAGCGGAATGGAGTGGGTAAAGATGAATAAAACATGAGTGGGAGAGTGGGCAATTGGCTGCATGGACAGTCTCACAACTACTTTTTAATTTTCTCTTGGAAAACGAGGCTGCAAGGTGGCCCCGTCCTCAAGGCTACTCAGGAAGCGGGGTCTCCCGCTTTAGAAAAAAAGGGTGAAGGAAAAGGCGAGCAAGGCCAGGGGGAAATAACAGGACAACTCTTACCTCCCACAAGCCTTTCCCAGCCCACTTAGCTCCACAGGAACCAACCTAGCGACCACGCTCCGCCCATTTCCGGATTGTCGCAGCCGTCGTCGCATGCGCAATGACGTCTCAGTCGCCTGCGGACCCCGGAAGTGCAGCTCGAACTTGGTCGGGGCGCGGATCCCGAGAGGGAAAGTCATAACAACCGCACGAGGGAGTTCGTCTGGCGAGCTGGAAGGCCACGCCTCCTCCCGCCTCCCCCCGCAGCCCTGTAGCTGGGGGCAGAGCTCAGGTAGGACCTGCGTTTGCGGGGATATGAGCTCCGGGGGCAGGCCCGGGCGGAGATCAGAGGAAGGGGCTGGCCTGGTCGGTCTCGGGCGGGGATTGTTGGCCCCGGGGCCGCAGGCTTCCCACAGATCACGCTGCGTGCCTTGCGCACAGGTGTACCCAATTTAGGGACCCCGCCGATGGGCAGGTTCCACCTGCCATTTTCACTTATGAGGCGGGGCAGAACACGTGCGTTCCCTGGTTGACCGTCCTTACAAGTGAACATGTGGAGTTCGGTGAGCCCTAGAGACCATAGAGTAATGGGCCCTCGTATGCTTTCTCAGGAGGGACGGTATTTATTGTTTGATTAAACATTTTTTCTACAAAAATTATAATCAATGGCTGAAGCTTTACCAGATGCCATTCACTGCAGACAGAAAATTAAAGTGCAGTTATAAAATTCTCTCAAAACTTGTAACATGTATGTGTGGGCGCTGGTGGGACATTTGACTGGAATGGATTTTTAAACTTTTGACTTTGAAATAAAGTTAGGTATATATTGGAAACACTCTTTTCTCTCCCTCATCCAGAGATTTAACATATTCTTCTCATGCTCCAGAGTGTGTATCTCTTGGGCCAAGAAATTGGTTACTTAATTTTTGTCTGTATTTATTAACAACTAGTGTTCTTGCATTTGTGTATTTCCCTACCTCTGAGAAGTTCTAGAGGGAAAATCCTGTGGTTTTTAGACTAGCAAGTGCCTTGTAATGTTCATCAAAACAGATGCACTGTGATGTTTATTATGCAATACATGGTATCTTTTTGTTTTAAAGCAGTGTTAGAGGTAAATTCTTTATACTTATACTTTAGTTCATATTGTCAGGGGCGGATATACTGTATTCATTTAGGGTATTTAGAAACAGAGAGCAAGCACTGTTTGAAGTGCCTAATTAAGGTATTATTGTCAGTGCTGGTACCAGGTTTCTATCTGACTTCTTAAACTAGGTGCTCCTCCCACTTTAATCATTCCCATTCTGGATGGCTTTGAGGCAGTGGCTGGTGGCTGTTCAAGGCTTGTAGATGGTAGAATAGTACCAAGACCAAAAGGAAAATATGATTTTATGCTGTGAGCATCACATCTGTTTATTCATTTAACAAATATTTATTGGCCACCCTCGATGTGTCAGGTGGAGTTCTAGGTGATGGGGGTACATAGTGAACAAAATAGACAAAGTCCTTTGGCGCGAGCCAAGCTACTCATGCTGTTTGACAAAGTCCAAGTATGGGGGACGATCCTGAAAACAGGAGACTCCACAGCTGGCTCCTGCTATTCTCTTTCATTTTGTTTATGGCGATCTTTATAATTGTGGGAATATTTCTGGGCTGGCTCCTGCTATTCTTTTTCATTTTATTTATGGCCATCTTTATTAATTGTGGGAATATTTCTGGGGTTTCATGATAAAGTGACTACTCA